GTGAAAATTTTATACTTACTGCAGCTCATTGCATAAACCAATCCAAAGAAATCAAAGTTGTTGTTGGTGAGTGATTATTTCTTTTACTCCTCTGAGGTGGGATGACTATCTGTTGTGCTTAACCTTCTGTGCCATAAATCTCCTGTGAGATGTACTCCCTTAACACACTTCAGGTGTTTTACCTTTCTGCTGCTTTTTATAATTTCTTGTTATTGTGAGAATCCTGTTTGTAACAACAGGTGCCTCTCCTTCTTCTCTGCCAGCTAGCTGAGAGTGATTACTGGCTATTGATGTGTTCAGCAGAGCAGTGCTTCTGCTGTAACAGAGCTTGTCATTCCTAGCACTTCATAAGCATCCAGGTTTGTTCTTGTGGGAACAAACTCATTGTTTGACTCATTGAATAGAGCACAAAAGAACTGATTCAGATTTATCATTGCTTCCCTTTTGAGCCAGGACACAGGATCAACACAGTGTCATCTTAAATTCTAAAATTCTTACCCTTTCTCCACATTAATGACCCTTTTAATGCTCTTGTACAGGTGAAGTAGACAGAGAGAAGAAAGAGCCATCTGAATCAATGCACACTGTGGACAAAATATTCGTTCACTCCAAGTTTGTTGCTGAGACTTATGATAATGACATTGCCTTATTAAAGCTGAAGGAGCCTATCAGGTTTTCGGAGTACGTCGTCGCAGCGTGTCTCCCCAAAGCAGACTTTGCTAATGAAGTTCTGATGAACCAAAGATCTGGGAGGGTTAGTGGCTTTGGGCATGAATTTGATGGTGGAGAACTCTCAAAAAAACTGAAGGTGCTCGAAGTCCCCTATGTTAATAGGAGCACTTGCAAGCAGTCCACTAGCTATGTATTTACTGAGAACATGTTCTGTGCTGGTTATGACACAGAGGAAAAAGATGCTTGCCAAGGAGATAGTGGTGGCCCCCATGTGACCAGATACAAGGATACTTACTTTGTTACTGGAATTGTTAGCTGGGGAGAAGGATGTGCAAGGAAGGGTAAATACGGTGTCTACACTAAACTGTCCCGATTCTTGCGTTGGGTAAGAACAGTCATGAGTTTGTAGTGGTGGTGTGTCCCTTGATCCTTCTTGCTAGCTACCAAGATGCAGGATTGGTAATGGAAACTTTCTTTTCCTGCACATCTGCTAAGCTGGTTTTGAAATCTGGTTCCTTAAAGTTATGGTCAGCTTCCATTTCTAGTCTTCCTGTCTTTAAAGCACCTCTCTGTGGACTGCGGAGGAGTTTAGAATTGGTTGAATGAGGGAATTTCTCCAAACAAAAAGGCTTCTGAGCAGAGTCTTTGGCTTCTTTCAGTTATTTATCAATGGCCATTTTGGTTCCTATGTGTTGACACCAGTGCTCCTACCAGAGGCTGTTAAACATGTTCTGAGCAGTCCCGAGTCATGATGAAAGCAGGAAGGACAGGACTCAGTTAATCCTCATATTGCAGCCATCTGGCTCAGCAGGGAGTTTGTCCTTACTGGAGTTGTTGAGCTTCTGCCTTTAGACATGACCAGAAGATTAAGGAGCAGGGGATCTTGCATGGTAAAAGCTGAGACACAATTAATTAATCAGTGTTTGGTGCTAAATGGCCACATGTTCCACAAATGGCCTGCTCAGATCACACCTGCTCATTAAAAGGGGTTTTGCTTTGTAAGGATTGTACTTCACTTTATTTTTATTTGTACACTCTGTTCATTGGAAAAAAATATATGTGCACATTCACTGTTTTCTGTATCTTGTTCTGGATTATGTATGGCTGAGGAGTGGAAAGCTCCTTACAAGTGTATTGGTCTAGATGTTCCTGTTAGGTGCAATATTGATGTACACCAGCATTTGAAATAAAACATTCTTTCTCTTTTGTTCTCCTTTGGTTGGGTTTTTCTCTTACAGCCTCTATTCCACTGACAATTCTGATGGCTTTTCCAAGGCTTCTCCAATCTCTTATGCTCTGAGGAACACTGAACTTCATTAGACACCTGCTACTTCTTTCTCAGGCTTTGAGCTGGTACTGGCTTGTTTCACACAGCAGGTGCTGTGAGCAAAGCAGACTGACAAACTCGAAATACAACTCTGCAAACAGCGAACATTGCTGCAGCCAGCCCTAATTGTGGGCAGGAAAGTGAGTGGGCAGGTCAGCTACCCCAGCATGATGGTCTTGGCCTGTAGAACTCCTCAGTGGGCTTTCTTCAAAGTCTACTCAGCAGTGTTTGTTCCCTGGCTTCTTCTGTGCACTGGATTCCTGCTCAAGTCCCTCGTCCCGTGGGTACTGTGCCTTGTGCTCAATTTCCCTGTTCAAAGGAAAACCTCAGGTCAGGGTCCTACTCAAATCCTACTTCCATACTCTTGCTCAGGGCTTTCTTCTGCTGAAGCAGAGCTTGAGGACTGAAGCAAAACACAGACTGGGCTGGAAAGGTGTTGAGGTAGCTGAAGGCATCACTTCCTGTCCATTGCTCTTTCTGTGCCAGCATCTCTGCTGTGCTGAGAGGCATGGGTGAAACATCTGCTTGCCTCTGGACCTCCTATCAAAGGTCATAAGCAACCCTAGGGCCTGCAACAAAAGGAGGAATTAAAGCACTCTCTTTTTTTAATGTAGATAAATGATTCAGGAGTAATTTCACATAGCAGATTTGAACAGAATGCAAAGTCCAGGAAAGGGGCACCGCACACAGCTGCTGAATAAGGAGGTGGATTTTAAGATACCAGAATTCCTCGTGGCAAGCAGACACAGCTGGCTTAGGCTGTAGCTGGTATGTACCAAGGATGATGGACAGAGAGGCTCTAAGGTACCCTCTAGTGCTCAGGCTTCTGCCTTCAAGGAAAAGCCTGTCTAAAATCTCCAAACTTGGTGTGCTAATTCACTCCTCACTTCTGGGCTGCCTTCTCTCTTTGGCCCAGCGTACAGGAGGCACAAAGCTCTGGCTCTGGTTGTTCTGCCTTCCTTGGGATAAGGGCAAGAGCCAAATCACTTACTCCAGCTCTTTGCTGCCTGTATAGCCAGACTGTTTTAGATGGTCTGTCAAAATTTCCATGGGAAAGCCTCTTTGAGGTGCTCTGCCAACACAAGGCTATCAGTGCAGCACACTCACTTTTTTGTGTCTTCACACTGTGCCATGGTGACATGCACAGTGAGAGCAAAGACTTTGCTCTCAGGGGTTTTGTTTTCTCATGAGTGAAGGACCTTTGCACTGTGGTGTTTCTCATTTAGCAGCTGCCCCTGCAGAGCCCTGCAGAGAAAGCAGTGGGTGATGCGCAGTGAGCTCGGAGGATGAGCATGGCAGGTCATCGTGGGACAGTGTGGCTTCTTCCTGTTGTCCTCCTTTTCCTTCAGATGAGGCAGACAGGTAGAGTGTTTGCTTTAACTTGGCTTTGTGCTGCCTTGCCTAAACCACGCAGGTTGCTGTCAATAGTTTTGCTTTGCAGGTCAGGGGAAGAGTGAACACCCGGTAGCTTTGCTGTCTCTGCCTTGCTTCCCTTTGCCAGCTGCAGTACAATGACATCCAGGGCACATGGGGAATTCCATTTTGGACTGGGAGTTGTGTCAGTTGTAAATTATGGGGTCAGTATGTTGATATGTAATGTTTTCAAATGCTCAGCACAATTAATGGGCCATTTCTGATTTTGTCAAGAGACATGATAATTAAATCATCTTTAGTAACTATTGATATGCTACTGAGGAACATATAGAACCCCACAATATTTAGCAGTGTAGAGGGGAATGACCCCTCACCCACTTTTGTTTTGTACATCTCCACAGAATCATCCCATCTCCACTTGATATATCATCCCACCTCTCCTTCAGGTTGGACCCTGAGATCTTCTCTACAGAGTAAGTTTATGAATCACATTGCAGACAAGATGCAATATGCCTTATGGTTTACTTTTCTGTTGTCTCTGATTGGAGACAACCGAACAAACACCTGAGTCATGACCATTACAAGAGCTATGAGTTAGAGGTGGATTTTGACATCCCAGAGATGAGATGGGAGAGGTACTTAGTGGGACACAGGGTGCCCTGAGAATCTTCAGAATGAGGATAATCTCATATAAACATGTCGAAAGCAATTCTGACTGCATTTATGTGCATTTAATGTTAAAATATAGACTAGAACTTCCTGTACAAACAAAGTTGGAAGGTAACTTTTATGAAAGTAACTGTAAAAATGACAGAGCTCATTAATGAAGTAAAGAAAAAGAATAAGAGAATAAAATTAATGTATTTTTAAAAGAGATGCTACTTCTAAAATCCCCACAAAACCCCAAAGTATCTAAGGCATATGTCAAAACTATCCCAAGGTCAGGAAAGTACAGGACAACTGATTAAAACTGTGAGATCTTTCGTGACCTGGCCCCAAAAACAAGTGTAAAAGTGCCTAGCTCTGTATCAAAGAATTGTAAATATCCTGACATAAAACCAGAAAAGTTGAGGAGTAAATACAATAAGATAAATGTGGTGTGAAAATCAAGAGCTGATCTAAGCTAAGTGTTTGAATAATGGAAGAAAGACTATGAATGTTAGTCTGTGCCTGATGAAGAAGAAAGTCTTTCTTTCTTAAGGTACCAAATAACTTGCACCCAACAAAGAGGAAAGAAACTGCTCAACTGCACTATTTGGGAAAAAAATCAAACTTCTCCAAGGGAAAAATCACATCAATTTTCCCCAAATACAGGATAACAGGCTGGGTGGCTGCAAAAGATGGAATAAACTTCAGGTCTCTCCTCTAAGGGAGGCTTCTAACAACATTTCATCTGATACTTTTATTGCAACAGAAAGAGAAACATCTGTAAATTTGGTGCAAATCTGGTCAAGAAACTATGCTACTTGCTTGAAAAACTGTATGGGGTGCAAATCTCCTCACAGGTGAGTCTGAAGACGTCTGACACTGATATTTTCACAGCAACATTCAAGACAAAAGAGAGTGTTTTCTCATTGTTTTTTTACCTCATTCCAGACTGGAAGGACTACCATAAATTGAGATGAGCATTCAGGCAGTCTTGGGAAACTGAAACACTGAGACAATGTGAATAGAAGGCAATTATGTAAAGATGAAGCCAAAATTTCACCTTTGGTCCCACAACATGCAACCACAGAGATTTGTAAAATATGTAATAAAAGCAAGAGTTCTTCATTTTCATGAGGATGAACAGCTAGGACAAGAAGTAATAGGATCCCATCACTCTAAGGGCTACTCAGATTAGATATTAGGAAACACTTTTTAGACATTATAAGACTAATTAAGGAGTGCTTTAAGTTGTGTGGGTAAGCTGCTGAATCTCATTAGGAATCTGTAGGAACAGGTTAGACAACATCCTTAGGACCAGTTTACTTGCTCTTGCACTGTTATGGCCAGAAAGAGCTCTCTCACTCTGCCTGTGGTTTTGCAATACCAGGGTTGAACTAAGGTAGCATGAGCCATATACAGATGGAAAAGGAATATTGCAGGGATCCACCAAGAGTCCAATACCTCATTTGTTACTGATGGTTTAGTTGTTGATATTTTTTGCCTCTCACCCACACCCAAGTTCATCTTTGCCTTAGTCCAATGGCTGTTCTGGCAAGCACAGGGTGCTGCTCCTTGAGCTGGCCTCTGAGAGTTGTTAGTTACACCTGGAAAGCACAGCATAAGGTGTAGAATAATAGTGTTCTACCTCATGTTGACAGCTTACCATTTTTTTAAACAATAATATGACTTTGGTTATTATTAAGGCCTTTTGCAGGAACTATACTGTATTTCCTAAAGTGCTGGGATGTTTGGCTAATGTTTGTGAGCCAGTTTTATAAGCTACTTGTACTTTTATGAAGTCACCACAAACTTGTAACCTGCCTATACGTCTGCCTCCCTTGCAGTCATACCAAGTGATGCAAGCTTTCAGAACTGTGAGCAGTTCTGAAAAACTGAAGATGGAGTAATTATATGTTCCTGTGCTGCTGGCTATGCCCTGGGCAATGGCAAACCTGTGTTTCTGTAGGTACAAAGCACAATTATAGTTCATTCTATGGGACATATCTCATCTGTACCACGTTTAGGAAGTGCTGCTGTGTTGCAGTGCCACTGTAGCATAAAGAATAATGTTAATTATTATTCAGGCCTTTCACATGGCTTACTTGAGCTGTTTATAACAAGTTTAGTAAGACCTTAGCCAGAGGACATAATTTTAGTAACATCAAATTTTGCAGCTGTGAGGGATGTGTGGCAGCAAAAATAGCTCAAGAAAATGTTCTGTGCAATTGAGTGTGTTCTCTCAGGGGACTACAAAATCCATGTCCCAGCAGGGGGAAAAGCATATCAGAAAGTGGTGATTACAACAGGGTTCAGATTCCTCTTCTCCCAAAGACAGAAGCGGGCTTCTCATGCAATGGAGGATTTTGTTAGAAAGTAACAGGTTAGAATTTTGATTGATAAAAGTTGGTGTCTCGTTTCAAGGCCTCTGGGACATGCTGAACACCTACAGATCCAAATAAGTAGAAATCCAAGAAATTTCTCCTTTTACAGTATACAGTTCACAAAGACTCATTTTCATTCCAGTAGTAGTAACATCATGTAACTGGGTTATATTTCACTTGTTTCTCCTCCAATACCACCTGTCCATCTGAAAGAAATACAATCTGCCTTTCTCTTTTCTTCTAACAACATGTTTTCCACAGTTAATATGTGGCAACCTAAATACATTAATAACTACTGCCACTGAATTTAGTTTCATCAGTTTTGCCTCCATTCAAATTGAACGTTAACAATTACTAGTCTTAGTCTATTCTTCTGTGTCTGATATATGTTATAATACCCTTTGTAATTTAATGCAAAATTACTATCATGACCTTATGATTCCAAGCATTGAATACTTTATTCTCTTTTCTAATTAAAAAG